ATACTTTTTTCATGATTTCATTATCACAGATTAAACATCCTATTTATAAGATAATCAATTTTATGTTTAACAAATTTAACAAAATTATCGCAAAATGTATTAGTTCATATGACCTTGTTTAAATCCAGTAAGACAATATTTTACAAATTAAGTTAAAGCATACAAATTCACTCTGACAGATAACAAAATGCAGCAGTTTCAACTAAAAATACATTAGCTGCTAAAGACTTTTTCAAAGTTATTTTCGTATACGCGAAACAATCATTAAATATAAATGTTCTTAATTTATCAAAATACATCTTATGTGCTTAAATTATACGAAATCTTTTGTAATAAGCAAATTACCAATCCGGAGCGCGGATCGATACATATGCGTATGCTTTCTTTATCCAAAAAATTTGAATATTAATGATGGAACCTTGAGTACATTCCTTATTCAATTCCAATTAGCTGCTTCTCCTATCTTCTTCCCCACGCAAGTGTAAATGCGCATAAACGATCATAGCCTTTTACGTGTGCTTATATTTTGTAGATAACACGAAGAATGACAATTACATTCGCTGACACCGAGGAGTTCGTATCATAAGCAAAGTTTTCTTTCACGTTTAATTCAAGAAACATAGCATATTAAAAACTACTTAACTCTTATTCTCTTGATCTCTAGTGGTAATATCATCCAATTCGTTTTGTTAAGAACTTGATTGAGGTATGGTTTATGTGAATATTATATTATCATTCAATTAAACAAATTTTTATAAAATTTGTTCATACTAATTTTAGAAAAACATTTTGTTTGTGCTTCTACTTATGAAATCTTTTTGATATATTTAAATATTTAATTATTACTTTGCATATTAACTTATATCAGTAGGTCAACAACGAATGACATATTATAGCCATTTAAGATTGAGCACTGTTAGTTAATTTGTGTATATATATATATATATATATATATATATATATATATATATATATATCTCTTTTCAAATTGCAGGTAATTAACATATTTCATATTATATCAATTTAAATATTATAATTTACAAAGGATATTGTAAAAGATTCAATTTAAATATATATTTTAAAATTTTTCATAAACAATATAACCCAAATGATTACAGTATATTTCAATATAAATAAACTATAATTATTACTATATAAATTTATATTTAAAATATATTAAGAAATATTTGAAAGAATATATAAATAAATATATTAATTTTAAATTATTTTAGATTAGATTTTTCATTAAAGTTTTTAAAATTATTGTACTAATAAAAATCTTGTTTAACTAATAAATAAGTGAATAGAACAAGAATAATTCAAGTAGTATTTCTAGAAATAATAAATTTTTCCCGTTTTATATTTACGTCGATTTTCTCATATTACATTATAATATGTCTATATATATGTCGAATCATTTAAATTATAATTGGTTTGCGAAATAATAATTGGAACTATAAGGAAATTCAAAAAGTTTTTAATAGGTTTATATATATATGTATATATATATATATATATGCACGCATATATACACATATGTATAAATACATACAAATTATATATATTATATAAACATACATAATAAATTCCTGTTAAAATACTAATTGAAAAAAACTATTATACCCTATTTAAATTGCACTCTACATCCAATTGTAATTTAACAATTTTCGATAAATTAACTAAATAAATAATATTGCTAGAATTGTATAGTATTATTAATATTATTTTAAACCTTACTGAACAATTTCAATAATATAATATCAAAATTTATACTAATAATACTATTAATAATAATAACATTACATAAAAATATTAAAGTATACATATCAGGATATATTTGATCCTGTAATAAACAGTAATTTTAGATAATTGTACAAATATTTATATATATATTTATATAATTATTCATAATAATATTTGTTGTGACCGTGCATGTGAGAAATATGACAAACTTTATTTAAAGAAAGACCCTTTGAATTTTTATAAATAAAATCTACTTATGCGAATTAAAAATTTTTATACAATAAATCAGATTAATTGGAAAAATATTTTATAGATATTGATTATATCCAATTTATTTAAAAACAAAAATTGATAATATACCGGCAAAATAAATATTTTATTTTCATATACTTCATTAAAAATATTAAAATATTAATGATCAAAAACTAAACTTATTTTCTTGATTCCTCATTAAAATTTGTACATACTATAAAACATTATGTTTTAATTAAAATTGATTAAAAGTTACCTTTTTGCTATTTTATATTGTTTAAAATTTGTACTGTCCAATTTTCAAATAAAAACTCTCAATGCTTCTGCATAAATGCAAAATTGCTAGAAAATAAAATGATTCATGCATATGCCATAAATAATTGAAACATTAATATTATACATACACATATAGTATTTCGTAAGCCTATTCAAGCGATCCTAATTGTTAAATATACCTGTATTTATTTAATATTTTATTAAAGAACTATAAGACATTATGGTAACGTTAAAGTAATCATAAATATAAAATTACTAGTGAAATAAAGAAAGTTAATATATTTAATTGATTACATATAATTTCTTTATTCTTATATACATAGAATTTATAATATATAATTTCATTTCTATCAAATATCTTACATAAAACCTTATATAAATATAACATTTCAGATACGTTTTGAATGCATCTATATTATATAATATTTAAGTGTATAATAATTTATCACAAATTATTGAATTAATCTTTCCATAAAATATAATATAATTACTTTCAGGTATTATGATATTGACAATTTTATAAAATTTGCTGTAATGAAATTTTTTACATATAATTTGATAAGGCATATTTGAGTACGGAAATTCACTATCGCTATTTAATGACTAGTAATTATATAATCATTTTCAAAATTACACATATGAATGTTAATTACTCTAAACGTTTGAATGACTATTTCAATGAAATATTAATTTAGTAAAATATAATATTAATAGTATATGATCTATATGAATCGTGACAATTTTTACATTTTGTAGAAATATTTATAAAATGTTTTACAAATATCAGTAGGTAATTAGAAATTTTCTCTTTTTATTATGTCAAAATGGCTTATCATCATTTTCTTCATATTTAAATGGCAAAAAAAACCGTGTACGCTTTAATCTTGAAAACCGAGGTACAAAATCTACTACAAAGTTTGTCTTTTGAAAAGCTTTAAATATGAGCAAATAAACGATAAAAGAGTGAGATATCGCGAAAGAGCACTATTTATGTTTCCATCAAAAATCCATTCTCAGGAAATAAAATTGAGCAGCCTCGTCGATGCTTCTGGCTATCAAAATAAAGGCGAATCCCAACGTTCCTGAACTCTCAAAGCTTCTCTCGTCTACTTCTGCCTCTTATATATATATATATATATATATATATATATGTCTTTTCTCCCTTCTCTGTCACTGTTACTCGTTTCAATGTAAGCCTGCAGGAGCAGTGTCCGTGATGTCTAGGCCCCAGCTAGATTGATTCTTACCCTAGGGGACGGCTGTCTTCTTCGCTGCTCACAAACGAACAGATCGTCGCCTTGAGAATTGAAAATCGACAATCCAATGGCACTCAAGACACGTGATCTCGCGAACGATTATCGGTGGAAAAATCTTGGCTGAGACACGCGGGAGTGGACTTGTAACACGTGAAGACTATATTCTGGGATGTTTCTTGTTCTTTCTAGTTTCCACTAGGCCTTATCTTTATTCATCTAGCCATTTCTCTATCCGCTCAATGATATATATATATATATATATATATTTATATATACAAACATATATATGTATGTATTTCAAAAACTTGCTTTATTTTGTTGAATATCTGGATATGGTTTTTTACGGTCTCGTTTGCTACTATAAGACGGGTCTCGACTGCCGACAGACTAAATCATGAACGTTACTATGCGATTATTCTTACCCATTTCCTATCTCCACCTTTATACGAATATTCTTTTATTGAAACAAGTTAAATTTATTATTCCAATGGGAGAGATAAATGGTAAAATAGAGCTGCAAGTGGAATTTAAAGCAACTCAAATGAGATAATATGGATTTAAATTGAATACGATAATAGTATTCTTAATTATTGAGTTATATTTTTACAATTAAAGATATAAGATATTAAAAACTCGTAATAAAATTTAATTTACATAGATGGACTTATTTGAGTGTAAAGGACTCGTGTGTGTGTGTGTGTGTGTGTGTGTGTGTATGCGCGCGCGCGCGCGTGGGTGGGTGAGTACATTATCGAACAATCGAAATATATATTATCAAAGTGGACTAAACTTGTAGAAAAATGAACAGAGCTTTGAATTAATTTTATCTCCAGGATTTAATTGAGGAAAGTATTTTATTTCATTAAAAGCCGAATTTGAGTTATAAATACAAAATCTTCATGAATTTGAAAGATACGCATAATTTTAGTTGACACGGTGAGCTTCAACTTTAATTCAATATTAACTTCTACTACATTATTTTGCATATTTATCGACAGTAATTTCGAAAATTCATAAGCAAATTCAATATTAATATTACTTAAATTTTAATAGCATACAATTTTAATCATAATATTGTAAAAATATTTCTTTGAAATTTATCCACCTAATGACCGATCAAAAGTATTAAATGCTAAAAACATATTAAACAATGAATCGTTTAATGTTGTGCGATATTAACAATTGTGATTTACGCGTCATCGTTTCCGAAATCACTCTTAATATTCCATCTTATTTCAAAAATAAGTTGTCGATATAAAAAAACAAAATAAATAGTTCGATAAATACGTTGAGCGGCAGTGGAAAGCTACGCATACAGGGCAATTCAATCGGAAGGAAAGCCTGAAAAGAACTCGGCATTGTGCAAGAAAGGGTACGAAGGAAAGAGTTTGGTATCAGCGTAGCGCAAAGCAACACCGACGCAAAAGTCGATATAGAGATGAGGCGAAACTCGTGACGGTGGTGGCGGTAGCTATGGTGGTGGTGGTGGGGGTGGTGGTGGTGGTGTTCATGTGGATGGTGGAAGAGGCAGCGACGACGACGAAGGAGGCAGCGATCGTGGTGGTGGTACTGGTGGTGATGGTAGGGGTGGTGATGGGTTTAGTAGTGGTGGTGATGGGTGATGGTGGTGGTTGGAGTAGTGGCGATGGTGGTGGGTGGTGGTGGTAATAGTGATGGTGGTACTGCTGCTGCTACCTCCTGCTGTTGCTGATGCTGCCGTCGGGTAGATGCGGCAGCAATAGCGACAGCAACGGCGGCTGCAGAGCTTATATTATGCAAAACGTGTATTGGCTCCTGGATTTATTGCAGCCGTTACGCAACAGCGACTGCCGTCCCTCGTTGCCGCGCGAACACACACTCGACTTTTTTCTTTGCGCCTTTTCCGCTTTTCCTTGCCTACCTCGCCGCTACTCCTTGAAAAACGGCATCTTCGCATGGAAAATTCCCAGTACCTCGCCTTCTAAAATTCCGGTAATTTTGCTCGAAAAAAATGTTATTCGCGAAGCGGCTAGGGTCACTTTTTCACCATGTGTGCGCAATCATTTATTTCACCTTTTATAGCGGCTACTGACGGTCGACCGTTTTCCAATTACAAAGAGGCTCTTATCTATTATGAGACGTCGATGACGTTTAGCTCGGCTGGCAATAAAAGTAATTGTGATTAGTAGCATTAGGTAAGATGAAAAAAATTATCAACTAATTTCGTGAATTATAATTAATGTGGATAGTATATATATATATATATATATATATATATATATATCATAAATACATGTGATTCGCTCAAGAAGAATAAGTTTGCGATATGTGACAGTTATTCCAAAAATCTAATCGTACATGTGATTCGCTCAAGAAGAATAAGTTTGCGATATGTGACAGTTATTCCAAAAATCTAATCGTAACTTTATTAGTGAATGATATTATCATGCTTTCTTTAATAAATATTTAATTTTTATATACAGTAGACTTGTTTCAGTGCATTATTCGTTTCATAATGCTCAATGGTTTCATTAAAATAATTTATCAAAGCAGTTCCAAAATATTTATTCAATAATATTAATACAATCATTGTATGTAAATTTACTCATTGATTATTACTTTTCTCAATACGGTTGTCAAAAAGCTTCTATATCCAAGCCGTATCAATATTAATATGAATTTATTTGTCGACAATTTTTACTATAAATTCTTTTATTTAAAAGCTAGCGTACTTTATAAAACTTATGATATAACTTACTTAATAAAATTTAGTCTTTAAATAGAAATTAAAAATAATTAAAATTAATTACCTTCGAATAGGAAAACAACCGGGATAAAGATAATTGTTATTATTAAAAATTATTTATGAAATACATAAAATAATATGTTTTAATAATTAATTGTAGCATTTAATAAAAATCATTACGAATCTCGAACGTGTAACTTTAATTTAATATATGAAAGAAAGAGATTTTTCATACCGCGTAAATGCTTTTTGCAGCGCATTCACAGTTTTCTATAATATAAAGCCATCGTCCTCACTGATAATATACATCATAGCAAGCTTGAGCGAATGTTTATTAAGTATACGACATGCATTTTGAATAAAAATAAATAGCGACTTTATTTTTGCAACGTACGATAAAAGTTACTTCATCGCAGAGCAGTGATTTTTCAGCCTGCGCGAAGTTTCTTCAGAAACCACTGAAACCCATTCAAGCACCCAAACAATTTCAGCTTGAAAAAGAGCGACAACGGCAATGACGTCAACTCAGCATCCAAGTACAAGAGTTTCAAAAAATCAAAAGCTAAAAAGACTTCGCGTTCGAGCATACGATCCATGTGCTCGCGAATGCACGAGTGTCCACGATTCACTAGCTGCCACCGACGCAGACAAACAAACTTCCTACCAACTCAGCACCTACTCGGCACTCGGGCCATTATTTTCTCTTTGTGGCGCCTCGGTAGCGGGACACGCGTGCGTTTATCCCTCGGGAGAGACAGGGAGACGAAATAGAGTGAATGGGCCGGACGAGACACAGAAGGGGTGAAGAGGCATGTCAGAGGGTGCAAGAATTACGCTGAGTTGTGCGCTTTTTTGTATCTTCGGTGAAAAGTAATATCCGTGGCCACGACACTGAATGACGGATAAACAGTCCGAGATGCTGATAGGCTTTAACTCGGTATTTAACGTATTTGCTGACTCGGCGCTCATAAGCACGACTAACATTTGAATTACGTGTTACAAACATTTTCGAGAATTTATATTTAATAGCGCCAGAGTCGTACGTTACTACTAAACTAAAAAGACTTTCTTGTTAGAGGAACTTTGAGCTTCTGCTTCATGACAGTTTAGAAATCTAGCGACAGTAAAGGAATTGGATAAGAAAGGAGGACGAATGATCGAAAAAAGCACGCGAAGAATCGTAAGTACAAGGTGTACGAAATGGAAACTAAAATCGGCTTACGAGGGAACATTTCTCTTCTCCTTTCTTCTCCCAAACTTCTTCGTAAGAGGACACTGGGAAGCTATTCTGTATAAATTCATTTAAATGACTCCGCGGCGCAAAAGTTAGGTGACGATAAATCTAGGTCGAATGGCCATCTGCGACATGGCTGGGTGCGTTATTTCGAAGTCGTTACAAATTATGTTCGAGTGATTTATCCTAGAACCTGGCGAATGTTCGCCGAGAAGTCCGCTGCACTTACCGACTTTCCGCCTTTCGGCTTTTCTTATTGCGCGGCGGCACGCCGACGACAACTATACGGATTACTATCGTTAACCCACCACTGACTCCAGTCCTCCTTTTCGGCTAGGCCAGCTAACTGTTTCGTCCAATTAATATTCTTAAATAATAGTCCCGAGCAATGGCCATTGCCCACTTTTAACAGCGACAATGATATATAGAACCGTGATTTTGGTAAAATGATCTGGCCACTGTTACTTGGCCAATACTCTCGATAAAACCCGGAAGAATTTATCAGAATGCACACCCCGTAAAGTTTACTAAACTGGGATATTATTAATGGTATATTTCATTTTGAAATTTTACTTACGGATTTTGAAAATTTTGCCGGCAAAATGAGATACGAATAATAGAGGAGAATTTACCTTCTCACAGTTATGAACATACGCGATAATCCTCCATATTCCTACAATCACTTTAATGACTGGCATAGCCAACACGTACATAGCTTCAACTATAATCTACTGTTTTAATATTCACTATTATTTTAAAAAAAAAAAAAAAAAACCCAACTTTCTTAATTGACTATGGCAATATATTAATATATTTGTTGAGCATGAGCATTGCAATTAATGTTGTTGAGAGTGCACACATTTATTATTAATTTAAGAATTAAGTAAGGCAATTTATACTTTGGTGAAAACACATAATTTATTATATATGAAATGAGGAAACACTTAAAAATTAAAGAAAATGTAAAAGAAAGAATTATTATTTCCTTGTTTCATTATTTGCGGAGTTATGGAATGGTAAAACCAATAACATAAAATTGATTTCGAGAAAAGGAGCAATTTATTTGGAATAACGATGAATAAATTTCCCTTTAAAATCAGAATGGAAGTCTAGTGCCAAAAAAATAATGTTTCGTTTTTTACACGTAATCGTATGTATTAGAAATTAGATTATCTTATTATAACTAAAGTTATCTTCTTAAATACTTAATAGTATAGTCGATAATAATTTATCATCGCATAGTGTCGTAAGGTATCGTCATTATTTACAATACTAATAATAATGCTAAGTATGAAGACATATTTTACAAAGCACTAAAATTTCATTGTCATCGCGTTTTTCTCCAAACATGTTTATCGAAACGAAATATATACTTTAACGTAGCGCAATATTAGAATTTTTCTTAGACTTACCCATGTATTATGGTAAATAAATTCCGCATTTTCGGCTAAGTAAGATAAGCTGCAGACATTATAAAGAAGGAATCACAAAACGCAAAATGGTTTAGGAAAAGCCATGGAATCGCCTTCCAGAAGATTTTCTCATACAACAGCTATCGTGCGAAAGCAGTCTCTCGTGACTCTCTTCGTCTTTCTCTTAGACTCGTATTTCCCCTCTTCGTTCATCATTCTTTCAGTTTTGCACAAACGGGTGAAATTTTTTCCCCGAGTGCGCGACTGCATCACACGACCATTTATACTCGGGCAGCCGAGACAGCAAGGCGGTGAGGCAGAATAAATCGCGGTCTCCGTTACAAGTGCTGCCAACAAAATAGAAACATCGGCTTTGCCTATCAATTATTCGTCCTGTAATTTACGATGCCGCTACCGCTACAATTTCAACTGCTGTTGACGCTAGGACATTGGAAAAGAAGCCGCGAATTCGAGTAGGAGAAAGCACGAGACGAAGCATGGACCGAGTGACGGAGTGGCAACCAGTCGACGAACTATTCGCTTCCTTACCGCGTGATTTTATTCAAAAGTGCCCGAAAATAAAATGCACGCCAAAAGCTCGAGTAATCATTGCTAATGATTAGTTACGCATATAAAAATTTCCCATGTAGAGTGCAACTTATTTCACGGTACAAAACAGCAATTTTTATTTACATCCAGCTGGAAAGAAAAAAGCTCGGTAATCGGATGCAAGCACTTATATCAGAAAATAAGTTTGCTTTCGTATCGTGATCGAATTATTTAATAATAATTGTAAACTAAAGCTATTTATTTAGGCATTTTTCATTTGTAATGCACAAAGTTTCTGCGCCAAGGTTTAAGATGTCTAATGTTCTTTAATTGCACAATCCAAGAGACTTGGAATGAAAACAATAACATCGCGTATATGTGAATGTAGATGGGTAAGGGTATAATAGTACTTTAATAGGGGGTAAGCCACTATATTTAAGTATAAATAAGATGAACAAAAAAGAATGGCGAGAAAGTACGCGTTAGCGCGCATTCTCGCGCCGAGTCTCTGGGAGACTCGCAAGAAGTCGGCTGCTGCACTTGGCGAATTCGAGTTACAAAGATGGCATCTTTAGTACGACCCCTGAAATTTTCTGTCCCTCCTTGACTCTGTCTCTGTCTCTGTTCCTCTCTCTCTCTCTCTCTCTCTCTCTCTCTCTCGGGCGTGCGCGCGCGCGCTTTCTCGATAAAGATACGCACTCGTGCAGCCACGACGACGTACGGTCCAAATA